TTCTACGCCTTCTCTCCCTTCGCCCTGGCCTTCTATTTTTTCGCTTGCGTCAGGCTTGTGTCCTTCCTCCGCCCCGCCCCCAAATCACCTAGTCACAGTCTTTTCATGTGAAAAAGCGTTGAATATTAAAAAAATATAAATAAAAATAGAAGGCCTAGGTCTAGGCTGGGACTGGACTAGATTTCAAGTCCTCGCATTTTGATCCAGTCCTCGGCTGCAACTCGGACTTGATCAAATTGTGCGGACTTGAAATCTAGTCCAGTCCTCATAGTCGGATTTGAAATATTACTACCAATACGTTATTATTTCAATAGTTTTGGGGTTTGGGGGACATCCTGTACAGTTTTCCCACTGAGGGCCTGTTCATATGATCCCGCTTACCGGGACGTCCCACTTACCGATTATCTCACTGCCTAGTTATTTTCCTACAAAAATTTGCATTGCGTTCATATGAGAAAGCGAGCTGGCCCGCTTTCTCGCTTGCATTTGCCGAAATCATAGGTAGGCGGGATGAAAAATTTTCCACATGAACATGCCAGCCCACTTAGTTTTGTGTTCGTTTTGTAAACAAGTATTAATTATGCAGCTAAAGCAATATTTTTTCTTGTAAATAAAACGAAGAAAAACACTAAAATCGCTAAATATATATTTGTGTGTCGTTTGACTGAAATGTAGAAATTTTGCCTGCTCTAATTATAGAACTACACATTGTAATTTCATCTCCGCAAGCGGGATGAAACACTCCATATGAACGCACGAAAATATTCGTCTCGCTAGGCAAGACGTCTCGGTGAGTGGGATCATATGAACAGCGCCTGCCGGAGTTTTCCGTGACATTAAGCCTACGCCGCACACAATTAAAACGCTTGCAGCTACCGACAAACGTGTTCTTTTCTGAAAATTTTGCGAACTACATCTAAGATTAGTTGTACAATGTCCAATATACCAGAACTCACGTCTGTCGTCTAACGTGACCTTAATGTATCATGACAAAACCAATTTCGTCACCCCATTTCATCAGTTCAGTGAATTGAACAACCTGGAAAGAGCTGCTGGTAGTTTACCATGACACATGCTCAACACCGTGAGCTGAGTGTGGGGGGAGTGGCGCTTAAAAAGCGCAACATGAGTCCATGACTTTGAACTATTTGAATTTTGTATATAGAGGGAAAAACTGACTCAACCAGTTATGTCCAAGAATCTAGCTACAAATGATATTAACAAGCATTCGTTGCAACCACCAAAAAAATACAAGGAGAAATTCGACGTTTCGACCGAAGGCCGTCCTCTAGAGTTACCAGTCGGCTAGTTCGTAGCTATTCAGTCACTCCAGACGAACGGCCCTCGCTCGAAACGTAGAATTTCTAGCTCCCTATATTTTCAGTAGTTGCATCCCTTGTTTTAATGGATGGAACAGAAGAGAGTCACATGACTGTTCTGAACTGTTCTGACTACCCCGATTTTCGAGTAGGGGCAGCCAGAACAGACACGCAACACTACCTATTTTCATGTGATTGGAAAAGGAGGCGACATATTTTGTGTACCAATGTACACTGTATAGAGCGTTATTTTGAAGGATTAACCGATATATTTGGACATATACTTATTATATGCTATTTGAATGCCAGGGTTGGGCGAAATCAACGAGTAAAAACGTTGCAAAAGCATACATACGTAGATGTACAAATAACAGCGAATCATTATACTGCTCTTTTATGCGAATAACTAATTAACATAGTAATGCATGATTGCATGCATATATAATAAACTAAGCACTATTCCAGAATACCATGTGCATTCCATTTTATGTAGTTCCAGAACAGTGTTCCAAATGGTTCTAGATCAGCAAATGGAGCAGCCTACTTGGGAGTTATACAGATGTCAATATCGTGTTCCCAGACCATCGGCGTAGCGCGATCGCGTCAGCCACCAAGAATGAAAAGTTGAAGTTGACACAAACAATGCAAATCGCCTCCATTTTGCACACATTTCGCTCGTTATGCTCGGATGTTGCGCGCACCAGAGACCATTACTCGAAAGATAATTAATATAAAACCATCTCGGTTGCCAAAACTAAAATCCATAAATGCGATAAAGATAGTCTGAACTAATTACCTCTCAACAGAAAAACGCAAATAAAAGGAATTATTATAAAGGGTAAGGAGACATTGGGATGCCAAACAGAAACGGTAGTAACAATAACGGAAGTAGAATGAAATTCCAGAAAGATTTAAAAAAAAATATCTTGCAGACTCACTATAAACAAAGAAACGAAAATTATACCGGGAAAGTTCGAAAAAATAATATCGTACCGGGTCTTACTTTCAAGATCCGCCGGTGTTAACGCTTCGTCGTCTCCGAAAGAAGAACTACCCGGGAACAGGTCTTATACTCCCCACACGTCTGGGAATGGAATTCCTTCCCATATTTACTTTTATATCTGTAAAGGTTGTATACATGATAATAGGAGCTACGACTCCGCGTGACGAATCATACAGGTAGACAAAACTCGAACCCACGTCCTTCGGTGTGCTAGTCCAATGCCCTACCGACTGAACCACAGGTCAAGTTGGAAGAATGTCGATGAGATTGTACTTCAAGATTTTTTGATATTTTGAAACTGAATCATAGTTTTGAGTTCGAATCTCAGTCGGGCCAAGTAGAGTATTCTATACAGCTATTTCACTTGAAAAAATTCTTGCGCTGCTTTGCTGAAAAAAATAAATTTCCTTCCTGGAGCAATTCTTCAAACCCCCTTCAAAAATCTAATGGTCCACCCCTAATTTGTTCGGCTTGTAGGAAACTTTAAATGATGCTTTGGCATATAAACTCTCATAGAAAGAGGTCTCTTAGAGATTTTTGTATTCATAAAATGTTATATTATCCATAACTATATTTGCAAAAGAAAACCACTTTAATTTGTGTTTACGTAGGCAATATATGTGCATGCTACCCGCGTTGGCAATTGTTTAGAGAAATAATTGTTAAAATTTTTGCATAAATTTAATTATTATCTTTTGTGAATTTAACTAGTGTTTGGGAATTTGCCTATATATTTGATACCGAAATCTCGGAGCTTTTGGATGAACTAGGTTGATTTAGCATCATTATAACGTTGGCAAGTATGTAATATCTCTTTTTACGATTTAGTTTCAAGTGTAACTTGTGTATTGAGCAGGAGACGTTCGCTGCTTTCAGAATTTGCTTACAATGGTAATTCCAACACAGAGGCTAAGACGCAACAATAAATACTGATTAATTATCTATTATATCTGTATACAATTCTACTACATATACAGTATATATCTTCGTGCACGTGCAGTTAATAAGCAGTTATTGGATGAGATGTTTATGATATCTAGCCGAACGCTGACCACATAATATAACAAAACTTGATAATTTCGGATTACATCACAATTGTTTATAACACAATATTTCATTTTTGTTACGTACCTTCAACAAATAATTAATGCTTTGACACAGTGCATTTTTAAGGATTCTTCAGTGGTGGGGCAAAACTACCAAAGGGCCCATTTCCCTTGACCTTCCCCATGAAATTATGCGATCTCCGAAGGTGTGAGGCTGAGCCTAGTACCGCAGGCTCGAGTTACTGAGTTAGCTAGGGAACCTCAGGAAATTTTAAAATTTTGGTCTCCGAAATAGTATTTAGAAAATCTCAGCTACTCAAAACAAAGTTTTAATGGTGAAATTTCCAATGAATTGCATGCTAAACATTCAAACACAACATAAGTTTAAGTATGCTCACCATCAATTTTGTTTTTTAAACTTTTCAATGTTAAACTCATTTACTCAATTCAGGTTATGGGACCTGGCTTTGGTGCAATAGGCCATTGGTGGGGTAGAGGAAGGGTCCCAGTGGGGTGAATTCCCCACCAGTACATAGTATTAAAAATAATGCCTTGCTTTGTCACCCAAAATGACGATTAGTTGTCAACCTGGCAGTGACAATTATACCGACGGGAAATATTACTTACTTGGATTTCAAAAAAGCTTTTGACCTTGTCAACAAAATTAGCGGAAACGAATGTAGCTATCAAAGGCTTTCTGGACATGGGTGAAGTGCTTTCTTACGGAGCGAACTCAACAAGTGGATCATTTTATATGGTATTATCGTCTTCAAATGCCCCATGCCTGACTTGCATTCCGCAAGCTTCGCCATTTACCCAACTCTATTCAATACTCGTACAAATGATTTGCAAGACACGTTAACAAACAACAACTCTACAAATACGCACAATTACGTGGATGAATGCAACATTGATGAAATTGTGGCAAACGGAGCTTTCTCAAACATTCAGAAGTCGATAAGTCACGTGAAGAATTGGGCCAATGATAATAAAATGGCGGTAAATCCATAGAAAACAAAGGACATGCAGTGCATCCTTTTTTCAAAATCTTCTCCTGAACCTTCACCCATACACACAAACGGAAATGAAATAGAAAAAGTAAACATGTGTGGAATCATTAGGAAAAGCATATAATTAGGAAAAAACATAGAAACTGTAATGTTATCTGCTTTATTTAAAATATTGTACCGGTATTTATAGACAAATACGTACGCGGAGACGTAGTATTAGTCAATTAGAATAAATATTAATGTTAATATTCATTCTAATTGACTAATACTACATCTCCTTTCCCCCCCCCCTTTTTTCTTTTCTAAATAACTTTAAACTAATTAAAGTATTAAAGTTCAATTTAATTTTATATAATCTAACTACTTATAAATATGATAGTGTTATTGTCTTATTATTCTAGTCCTCTACTTTGACTTGCTTTGAGAGAAATTAAAGTTTTATAGTTCTCTTTAGTCTCGAATGAATGTTCAGTTCTGGATTAGAATGTTCTTTAGTTTGTACTCTATTTCTTTTCATAGTTCCAGTAGGTGTTTCCACTTCATACTGTCTCGTGTTTTCAGTTTCTTGCCGTATCACTCCAGGTTCGTGGTGGGTGCTGATCTCAACTTCTGTCCGAGGACTTTAAAAGGGTTGTAATTGTTTGGCAAGATGTCTACGCTCAAAATACTGTTTTTGCTTTAACTTGCTAGCATCTTCTTTCTGTCAAGTTTTGAACATCAACACATGAACATCAACACATGAACATCAACAGATTTTGGATCCAAAAGAGTGTGGAAGGTTGGAACCATGGTGCGTTGTTTTCTTCCCATCAGTAGTTCAGCAGGCGAAACTCCGTACGCTAATGGCACTGAACTCTACGCCAATAATACCTTATTGCGATCTTTTTCTTTCTTTATCAGCTTCTTGATTGTCTGAACAGCTCGTTCTGCTTCCCCGTTCGACTGTGGATATTTCGGACTACTATTCTCGATCTCGAAGCCCCACTCACTTGCAAAGAACACATACTCAGCACTGTTGAACGGAGGACCATTGTCTGATACTACTCTTTCCGGTATTCTGAATCTAGCAAACACCGTTTGTAACGCCTTGCACACTTCGGTTGCCGTCTTGCTCTTGTTCATTGGACACAACTCTATGTACCTTGAGAAATAGTCTACTACTTAACAATTAGACACCGAAGCCGAGTTGTCTATGAGCGAAAAGTCAATAAGGCGAAGCCGAGTCAGAGGTATATAGACGTTCTCTGGTTGGAAATTTGCATTCACGAGCTTTTGGCTGCCAGACTGCGGCCTTCAACGGGTAGTTATAAAATACAGTGATTACAGACGACTACGGTTTACAATTACAGATCGGAGCACACGCCTACGGTTAGCAAATTACAGCGACAAACAAATAACTGCAAGTGATAGTTCCGCCTATACAGGGTATATAAAAAAAACTGAACAGATTTGAAATTGCTTTCAATTTCGCAAAACACCTATTTGTATCCGGTTTTTTATATATATAGCTTCTTTGGGTACTTACAATGTAGAATAATGAAAAATAATCTCAAACTCAAATTTTGTGAACCAGGGGGGGGGGTGACTTTTCCAACAAACTAAATATGGCTCGCGCACAAAATGTAAAACTTGTAATCATATTTTGAGTTAATAGATGGAAACATTTTTGGGTTTTTAATTACTGTACAGAATTCCAGACAATTTGGTTTAGTTTTTAGGTTTTTTTGATACACCCTATACTCTGATAATAATTATTCTATTTCTATAGTAACAACTGGTATTGTTTTGCCTTGTCGATTATCTTGCCATTGTCAAAATCAATTTTATGGTCATAGGACCAAGCATCATTCGCAATACTTGAGCCCGCTTTGTGTTCCTCGACATTCTTCATATGTTCTTTTTTCCGTGTGATGAACGCTCGACCCGTCTCACCAATGTAGCTCCACGAACAATGGGCGCAATTTATGCGACATATTACATTTGTTTGTTCTTGGGATGGTGGTCTGTCTTTCGGTGAAGGGAGCATTTGTTCAAGTGTGTGCATAGGTTTCGTTGTTGCTTGGATGTTATAAGGCTTGAGGAAGCATTTGAGAGGTTCTGTTAGGCCTTTGATGTATGGTAAAACCGCGTAACCAACTTTTACACTAGGATCAACTCTTTCAAAAAATTCTCGAACAAGTTCTTCTGGTGATGGTATTTTTTGTTGTCTCAAAGCACATTTCTTTTCCACTTCTGTCAGGAGCCGTCAACGCTTTAATAACATGTTCACGTTCTTGTTGTTTGGCTTCAATCGAGTTATTGGAAGTGTTGCTGCCCGGTGTAAAAAGGTTTGTGCTGTGCTAATTTTATGTTGTTTGTCGTGATGTGAGTTGAAATCTATAAGTATACTTGTCAATGTGCGTAGGCTTACGGTAGATATTAGTGATGAGCGTCCCGTTGTTTCAAGAAACTAAAATGTCTAAGAATGAAAGTCGTCCGTCATGTTCTGTAGTAAAATTTATGTCTGGGTCAATAGAGTTCAGTAAATTATGAAAGGAAATGTAATGCATGTTTTTTGATGATCGAAAAAACGTCACATATAGCGAAACCATTTCTTAGGTGATATAATTGCTTGAGCCAGAGCAAGTTCTTCAATAACTTCTAAACAGAGGTTTGCCACAATAGAGCTTACAGGACTGCCCATAGCACAACCGTGAATTTGTTTGTAGGCCTGCTTGTTGTAGTTAAAAAGCTGTTTGAAAGTGTGAAACGTAGAAGCTTAATAACGTCGTCAACAGTTAGATTTGTTCGTTGTTGTAAGGTAGCATATTTTAGTAGTTTCTTGCGAATGTGTTCGCATGTTTTCTCGACAGGGATAGCAGTAAACAGAGAAACACCGTCAAAAGAAATCATAATTTCGTCGTCTTCAATGTTGATGTTGGATAGCCCGCTATGTGCAAAGTCAGTCGTGTTGGTAACAGAATAGACGTTGTTGTTTTGTAAAGTTGCCAAAATATCTGCTAAGTACTTAGATGTATTATATAGTGCTGTGTTCCTACATGTTACTATAGGGCAAAATGGATTGTTGGGTTTGTGATGTTTGACAGAACCCCGGATAGCTGATGGAATGCCATTAGTTGAGTGTAGTTTTTTGCAGGCCGGTGCGTTCATCAAGCTTATGTTTAATTGTAGTAATTGTGAATTTAACTCGCGTTCGATCTTTTTGTCGGCTACTAAATCTTTGGTGGGTATTTGAAGCGGTGTTGGGGCAAACTTGAGGCCTTTTTTTAAAATAGCATGTTCATCGGAGGAAAGCGGCTTCTTGGAAAGGTCGGTAACCCATTTGGATGAATCAATAGTGTGACAGTCCGGTGTGGATTCTTTGCTTAGGTTTAATGCTAGCTTATGTAGCTCTGTTCTTTAAAAACTTTAAGAACCGAGCGAATGATTCCTCGGAGAATAAAGCGAACAGTTTCCTTCGATTTTCAGAGACGATGCGTTTGATAGACCGTATCTGTTCGTGGTAGATGCTGATAAAAATTTCCAACCAGACAACGTCTCAAAAATCACAAAGGTATAAAATTATAATTTTATCACAGAAAAGCAAAAAATTATCATAACTAGTCTAGCTGTTCTTCAAAAATTGAGCAGAAATTGCAATAAAAATATTTCGATTTTACAATCATTCCCAAATATTAATAAGCTACCTGTCACCCCTCCCCAATAATGGGCTGAGATTGTTGAAGAAATATTTAAATTGACCTGACCGCGCAGCTCAGTTGGCAGAGCATTGAGCTAGCATTCCAAGGCAAAGGTTGTAGGTTCGATTCCCACCGTGGCCAGGCATATTTTTCAAGCCTGTCCGGTGTGGATCCACACTCAGAGCAACATCACAAGCATCTTATTCAGTCACCTGAGTACATTAGAGTACATACATTACACCAACACAGCAAATATCATGATTATTAGATTACGTTAATTAATATCAGGAGCTAGACTCAGTTTCGAAATATCACATTCTCGAACCGGCCTGACCGCGTAGCTCAGTTGGCAGAGCATTGGACTCCAAAGGTCGTACGTTCGATTCTCACTATGGCCAGGCTATTTTTCAAGCCTGTCCGGTGTGGATACACACTTGGAGTAACATCACAAGCATCTTATTCACTTGACTACATTACACCAATTTATTAGATTACATTAATATCGAAGGAACTAGACTCAGTTCCGAAATATCACATACATGCACTCGAACCTTGTATAATGGTTTAATTCATTGTTGTTCGTATAAATATTTTAGTTCAATAGTTCGAACACTGGCATTGCACAGGACGTGATGGAAAGCAAGTTTTACGACATTATTTTATTATTTGTTAGTCGCTTGATTACTGTATTTTTTTGAATAATGACAATGATAAAATATTGATTACCAATAACATAAAACAATAACCTGTAACATGAAAAAATGTGAATATAGAACAGTAATAGTTCTTGCATGACGACCATTGATTTTAATACACCTGAGTGATTACGACAATTAGAATTTTTTATTGATATCAACCGGCCATGCCATCGAGCAATAGAACATTCCAAACAATAATCCGAAGTATAACATTGAAACATACTAGTATCAGAAATTAAAATATTACATCTGATTCACAATTTGTTATAACGCAAATATACCGATTAAAATACGTCCAGTGTTCTTAGTGTCGCAATGATCTATAAATAAAATAATTTACGTCCGTCCATCGCGTAATTACCTTTGTTTTTATAGGTATATAAATATGTCGAAAGTGAAATCACTGCTGATCGCAGTAGAAACAGGAAATTTTCATGAAGTCAAACAGTTGGTTGATCAGGGTGTTGATGTGAATAGTAAAAATTATTACGATTTCAATCCTCTTCGCTCTGCAGTGTCATCTGGTTCACTGGAGATTGTCAAATATTTAGTCGAAAATGGTGCTGACGTAAATTGTGAAAGTGATCGTGTTGATAGTCCTCTTCACTCTGCAGTGTCATCTGGTTCACTAGAAATTGTCAAATATTTAGTTGAAAGTGGTGCTGACGTAAATTGTGAAAGTGATTGTGTTGATAGTCCTCTTCACTCTGCTGCATCATCTGATTCACTGGAAATTGTCAAATATTTAGTTGATCATGGTGCTAATGTAAATTTTGAATTATTTATGTGTGGTAGTCCTCTTCACACTGCAGCATCATCTGGTTTACTGGAAATTGTCAAATATTTGGTTGAAAATGGTGCTAATGTAAATTTTGAATCTTTTGACGTTGGTAGTCCTCTTCACTCTGCAGCATCATCTGGTTCACTGAAAATTGTCAAATATTTAGTTGAACATGGTGCTGATGTAAACTGTAAAGACTGGCGGAGTAAACCTGTGATTCACAATGCTGTTAAGTTTGGTTCATTGGAAATGGTTGAATGCTTAGTTGAACATGGTGCTGAGCTAACAAATGAAGAAAATCTTGACATGCTCACAATTTTATTTCTGGCTTGTGAACGTGGAAATGCGTCTGTTGTTGACTACCTTCTCCAACATGGAGCGATTAAAGACCTGAATAACTGAAAATTGAAATCTCCCTTACGTATAGCATGCCTAAAAGGTCATACCGCCGTAGTTCAAACATTGCTTAAATATAACGTTGATATACGAAAAGAGAAGGAACCATTAATATGTGGCAATAATGAGATTATAAATATTTTGAATGTGGAATTAAAGAAATCCCTAAAACATCGCGAAAAAATTGAGATTTTGAAAGGAATGGACAACGTGAACTTGACAAAGGTAATATTATATTTTTTATTGCATGCAAGCAAAAAAGAAATGGGATCTCAAAATAATCTATTTATTGGTTATTATTTTTTCTTCGAAAATTAAAAAGTCGGATAATGTGGAGTGTGTTTCTCGGTAACCAGCTTTTCCCGAATAATCGAGTACCTAATTTATAATTTTTATTGTGTTTTGTTTCAAGATTTCAATCGCATAGAAACCGGGGTGGTAGTTAAAAACAGCCTAATTTGGCCATATAATTGATTTTAGTCTAAACTTTGACGGGGAAATATGAATGGCTGCGCATAAGCGATTCTATTGAATTTGGCCATTTTATTCGCTTTCGCAGTAAGTATAGAATTAACTTCTACTCACTGGCGAAGCGAAATGTTCTCTCTCCACGCCTAATTTATCTTTACTCCGCATGCACCGAAATCATTTCCAGCGACTTAGTTGCATTTCGCCGAAGAAAGCGCCCATGGGATCGGACCTTTACTGTAGTAATAGTTTTTCAATAGCTGTTTACTTTTAACAAGGTACGTTTTTCCAGTTTGAATTACATTTGCTTTTAATTATTTTGCACATCAGAAGCCATGTTGTAATACCGTAGTACATCAAAATAGCATGCCCCCTTTATGTTACCAGATCACTCTTTGTGCTTTAGTGTGTAACTTTATTTTAACATTTTAAAGGTATAAACATCGAATCTTACAACTATTAATTAATTCTCTGTCTTTTCTACACAATACGATTTTCCTAATCTCAATACCGCATGCTTTGTCACGCCATGTGACGTACTTCCGGTCTATTACTACTAATTAGGTAATGTTAAATTCCGTAATGTTAAATTCCGTGGGGTACATTTACAATTTAATGAAAGGAGTTTTAGTGATAGCTATGTCATTTGCTGAAATTACTGCGCGATATCAAGGGTCGATTTCATGGTGTATGGACGTATAATAAATTGTAGCATTACGTTAACAAATTGCCAAAAACGTAGTTTTAAATATTCTTGCGTCATCAGTCCAACTTATAATTAGATTTGGTGCAATCGCTTGCTAAAATATATATTCTCTGAGTAATTTCAGTGGCCAAATTGTTGATATTTTAACCGAGGGATTCCTGCTTATGGCCCAAAAGAACTGCAAGAGGAACGATATTTTAACATTGTCGTCCATGTTTGGTTTTGGCAAGAAGCTTAGGTTCTGGGCTTCTTCAATGCGGTTTGCACAGGAATAGCATACCAATAACTTTGAAGTCGTTAACACCTTCGTTTACCATACTTTCCCGTTTGTATGGATGGTGAGGTGTGAGCCCGGGTGACCAAGGGGTGGCCTAGAACACATACTGCCACTACTGTTACTTGAACTCGGGTCAAGATCCATGCCAGTGTTATCTTGAGCAGCCCACCCCTGAAGGGCCAACACCTTCACACCAATCAATAATTGGTGGAAATTTGAAAGAACAAGAGAAAAAATAACAAATCTCTGTTCCAGCTGATACGTTTTCTATGCTTATAGCGCACAATGATTACTATCGCCACCAATGCGCGGCCAAGCTCTTATTATACACGCGCTCGGCCAATATGCTTAGGTATAATGTATCAATACGTTTTCATTCGTAAAACCGCTGAATTATATTGCAGGTGCATGTCTTGAACGTTCGGCTGGCCGATCGATCCAATGATATTGTTTACCTAAAATTTATCATCAATAGAACAATGCATATTTGCCTTCCTTCATCATATTATTAGCATCTAATAATTTACACCAAACAAATGCTTTTAATCCTTAATATATTCATTTTGAAATCAATCTGATTGGCCAACAATAGTTGAGATTTTCAGACTTAAGATTTTGAGCCCAATAATACGTAATCAACAAATCATAGAACGAATACAGAATGATTTAATAATTTTTTTTCCCTGTAAGATTCAATAGTTAGCGTACACTTTGCAAAATTCTACCATCTAATTGATTTTGCCGACAAGGCAAATTTCAGGAAAGATGACGCATGTGCAGACGTTTTTCCGACGTGTTTGTCGCCATCGCTAACATGACGGAAAGCTCTGTTCATTGGTGTTTTTAATTAAGAATATTTCATGTTAAAAACAGTTTAGGAAAATATATACGAGTTTTGATGCATGCATGTATTTCTATAGTATGTATTAGGGAACATCACTTCATTCAAGAGACAGCTGAGTAAGTTTCTTGACGTGGTTAAATAATCTTGTATAGCCTAACTTTTCATGGGTTAGCGGACATGATTCCTAGCACAAAACTACTCGATGTAGAGCCATTTTATTGGTCATTATTAGTCAGTCATACTATATAGTGATAAAAATTCGTTTCTCTACAATAGGTTGGATCACAGGTGAAGTATTTTTCACCGCAGAAGTCTTTGATACTTGGGAAAGGTTCAATGGGTATTGTTTATATTGGTATCATGGAAGATGGTGCTGAAGTTGCTGTAAAGAGGATCTTGAAACACGAGTTTGAAGATACAGCTAAAAATGAGCTAGAAATTCTGAGTCGAACTAATGCAAGCAAGTCACCATTCATAGTAAGCTATAAAAAGTGTTTAGAAGACGCCACTTTTGTGTATATAGTTTTAGATCTCTGCGAAGAAACATTGAAAGAACACGTTCGTACTCAAAGATTGGAATATCTGCAAGATCATGGTCCAAGAATGATTAAAGAAATCTTAAGCGGAATTGGATTTCTTCACAGTCAAAAAATTTTACACAGAGATCTCAAACCATCAAATGTCTTGGTTGATCGGGAAGGTCACATGAGATTGGCAGACTTCGGAATAAGTCGTGCTTTGAATGAAGAAGAAACCACAGTTCTTACATATGCAAAGGGAACCCGAGACTGGATGCCCACCGAAGTCATTGAAGCAATAAATAAAGAAGAGATGGGACGTTTTAAAAAGAAATCTGATGTTCAGGTCGCAGGTATGATCGCTTTCTTCATTTCAACCAAAGGTGAACATCCTTTTGGTCCAGTGTTTGAACGAATGACAAACATTTCGAAAGGAAATCCTGTTAACTTGGACATGCTTCACGATCTTCAGGTTCGGAAATTTATTTCATGGTTGATCAGTCATAAGATTGATGATAGACCTTATGTTCACGAGGCGTTGGTAGATCCCTTTATGGTCCATGCAACAGATTCTCTCAGGAAAATCATATTACAAGAATCCCGTACATAGGAAAATGCTTTTCCCTTTACTAACTGTTCCGCTGTAAAATTATTCTCGCATAAAACTTTATTTTCACATGCATGTGTGAAAATACGTGAAACTCGAATACAATATATGAAAATTCTGAATTTCGCATATCAAATGAACAGTTCCACATGTGAACTTTTCCATTTGAACAAAACCATAGCAACGTAACAAAAATGCGTGTATAGAATGGACCAATTGCAAATTATAAATAAAGTTGCCTCCATTCCTCTGACATTTGTAGCGCCGCAAGCACTAAATAAAAAGCATTGTTATTATTGTTTATATACACATAGTATACTGCAAGAAACTTGGCTTTTAGGCGTATTGCATTGTAGTACTGTCACTATTAAATAGTAGATACGGCCAGGGCTTTATCCAAGCACTTTTGATGACCGTCGTTTTAGAAAAGAAGATTCAGTTTTTGTGACGCACGAACGTAGCCCTGGGGGTCTAGGAGCAAAGTCCCTGAAAGTTTTTGCCATTTCAGCATCTTAGACTATGTTGGCGCTACGCTGCTCGAATGTATCGAAAAAATCACGAAATCTGCAGTGCAAACAAGCGGATTTGGGAAGTGCAAACACGCGGATTTGGACTTCGTATGATTTATATTATAATTATTTATCTTGTTTAAAATTAGTGCCTGAACCCGGGCAACGGAATTGACCGATATCGCGTGCCACAGAATACGGACTATATAATATTTGCTGTAATTTCCCGAATTTAGTGCCAATTTTTTTGCAAATACCACAATTGCACAATAATTTGCTACGATATGTTCATAGGTTGATCGCTTTCCGAACCACTTAAGTACTACACAGTACAATGGGAACTCCAAAACGTCAGTGGTTTGTGAAGGATGTAAACATTGCCCAATACCAAAGAGGCCATGCTTGTATTGATGTACATGCAGTATTCATATTCGAGCGTATTTTTTCTGTGGTTTTTTCACTCTTCTAGTAAAATTTATAAATTTTAGATTTTAGTTGGAAAAATTTACTTTATATTTGTAATATTTGTTATTCTTTAAATATCCCATTTCATTTTGTCCTGATTCGATCGAAATTTTTATCAGAAATTCAAATATGCATGCATGTGATCTAAGCTAGCCTGCGTAGCAGGCGTTTAGCTGACGGGCGGGAAAAGAGGAAACGCCTGTCCAAATGGCTATGACAAGTTTGTTTTCGCCCATTAAGGATGATTGACGTTTTGTAATTAGCACCTTCACCCATTATCCAATCATAGTCGTGATTTATATTTAGCATCATGCATGCTTTTTGCTTGGCAACTAGGGAGATTTGCAGATATTCTTTGTACTATTTCTTTGTGTTGTTTCCTCATGAATTATTAATGAGCTTTTGAAGCTATAATTCTAGACAATAATCACAACACATGAGTCACGGAGCTTTTATCTTTTAAAAGGTTCCTGAACCACGGTTGTTTAACGTATTCTGCCATATAGCAAATTAACTGCAAATATAAACACTAACAGTTAGCATGTTTTGAAATGTTATTCTTAAAATTATCATTCAACATCATAGCTGTAATGCCAAGTGACGTAACCTCAACTACATGGTCTTCAATTATACTTTAAAGTGAACAAATAACAAGACAATTACTATAAGGAATATTCGATCCCTGCCGCTCGGGCAAGCTTTGACTTGCCGATTTTCGTATTCCTTAGCAAATTAATAATAGACTTTCTCTATTTTGGTTTGAACTGAATTTCGAAGCGTAAATACTTGAAATATAAGAGTTCCCTCGAAAGCATTTATAACAGGCGGCATGTTTTCGGTACGCGAGTAAAATTAACATTGTTGACATTTGAGTTGCGTAATTACTTCCGTTAACGAGATCGACCAATGGGAAGATTTTCCGAAGATTCTTCGGAGGAGAACAAATTAATCATAGGCATTTGGGCAGGCGTTTCCTCAGTTCCCGCCCGTCAGCTAAACGCCTGCTACGCAGGCTAGATCTAAGCATGCATGGTGTGCACAAGGCACATGCAAAATATGCGAAGATGTAGCTTTATAACATAAACATGTCGTTTTATTTTGAAAAAAAACGAGCAATTCCAAAAACTAAAGCGTGTGGAAATTATTTTTTGTTCTTTCTTTTCGTTGTGCAAAATATTCAGTTTAAAAACTTAATTCAAGATTGAGTTTTGACATCCGTTTACCGGAGGTCAGTTGGTGCTTGGATAAAGCCCTGACGGCTAGGCTGGTATTGTACGCTCAGCTGTGCATCTAACAATAACCCTTATGTATATACAATTAATTGACATGAACAAACATTGTGAGTTCGAATCTCAGAGTAAATGCAAATAATTTTCAATTTTTCTTTTTGCTGTTATTGTTTTTTGTTCTCGTTGATTTACTTGTTATGTGGCTAGATACAGACATTGGGAAGCAACGGGTAGGGAGGCAACCATCTGAAAACTGATAAGGAGAATTTCGGCGTTTCGAGCAAAGGCCCTTCTTCTGGAGTTACCAGCCGGCGAGTAACTCAAGACAAAGGGCTCTCGCTCGAAACGTTGAATTGCCCCAGAGTTTCAGACAGTTGCAGCGAAAGTTTGATTATATTATTGGCACTACAGGGTGTATAAAAAAAACTGAACAGATTTCAAATTGCTCTGAATTTCGCAAAACACCTATTTGTATCCGGTTTTTTATGTATATAGCTTCTTTGGGTACTTATGATGTAGAATAATGAAAAAAAATTCTCGAACTCAAATTTTGTGAATCAGCGGTGTGTGTCTTTTCCATGAAACTAAAAATGGCTTGCGCACAAAATTTAATAAAAGATGTAATCAAATTTTGAGTTCATAAATGGAAAATTTGTTAGATTTTTAAATACTGTACAAAATTTCAGACAATCTGGTTTAGTTCAAGTCCTTCAACTATTCATTTTATTCTAAAAAATCAACAAATTTTCCATCTATTAACTCAACTGAAATATGATTACAACTTTTAAATTTTGTGCGCGAGCCATTTTCAGTTTGTTGACACGCCCCCCCCCCCTGGTTCACAAAATGTGAGTTCGAGAATTTTTTCATTATTCTACATTATAAGTACCCAAAAAAGCTATATATATATGAAAAACTGGATACAAGTAGGTGTTTTGCGAAATTGAAAGCAATTTCAAATCTGTTCAGTTTTTTTTTATACACCCTATATCTACTATTAGCACTATCTACGCAGTAGCTAAGTGATACAATTTCTTACGATTCATCCATTCCAAAACTTACACATACTACCATGGTGTTCGTATGTTACCACAGAATAATCACCATACTCTTTTGTCAACAACATATGTCTATCCAATGCTGACCCTGGGACATTCACATAGCCATTACAATATAACACCCGAGTAATGTTGCCTTTGAATAATTTTGGACATGTCCATACGTCTATGTTGACTCCTTCCGCTTCTCTAGCTCTTAGACCAAGCTTTACCATTTCAATCGGTATATACCAATGACCTCTTCCGTAGTGAATTGGTTTCGGTTCAAAATATCCCACGCGAGACGCGAGAGCTTTCTCGAAACGTGGGAACTCCTCTGGAGTTATACAGATGTCAATATCGTGTTCGCAGACCATCGGCATAGGGCGACCACGTTGGATTGCCAACAAGTCACCCAAAGTCATCCACCAGGAATGCTAATTTGAAGTTGACGCGAATAATGCAAATTGCTTCAATTTTGCGCACATTTCGCGCGTAACGCTTGGATGTTGCGCGCACCAGAGACCATTACTCGAAAGATAATATAAAACCATCCCGGTTGCCAAAACGGTTGCTAAAATACATAAACCCGATACAGGTAGTCTGAACTGATTACCTCTCAACAGAAAGACGCAAATGAAAGGAATTATACCAATAATAAGGAGACTGAAGCCATGAACATCGAAGCCATATTCGCCATGTAAACCACGGTGTATTAACATTGGAATGCCAAACAGAAACGGTAGTAACAGTAACAGTAGCAGAATGAATTTCCAGTAATAGAATTTCCCTTCCATTGTGGATAACTGTCACCCTACAAAGAAAGACGAGTTTTAAAGTGCTAATGCAATTTTTATGATTGCATTGCTATAATTGTAATTGTAATTAGTCATTTCCAAATCGAGCAGAAGACTGGGTCTAGTTTAGGCCGTTCTCGACCATTGAACTATAAATAAACTGGAAGGCTAACTGCTATGATGAAGGCCTATGATTTGATGAAGCCAAAATAGTTTTTCTGAGTTATGAGCAGAAATACTTGACCCCAAACGGCGGGCTATATATCAAATTGAAGCTATTGAAAATTGCTATTCGGTGTGGAAATTTCAAGACTTCAGCGAAAAGAAAAATATTTAAAAAATACAAAAACAACTGCAAAACGGCAAATTATCGGTAATTATGTTTGTAGTTTTTCAATATTTCCCTTTTAGCTAAAGTCTTGAAATTTCTACACCAAATAGAGTTTTTCAATAGCTTCAATTTGATATATAGCCCAACCTTCAGTGTTGAGTATTTCTGCTCATAACTCAGAAAAACTAAAATGCACTGGCTTCAATTCCCCCCCCTGAGTTAGCCTTCCAGTTTATTTATAGTTCAATGTTCTCGACTCATCCTCGTTCCCAGGGCTTCTCGGCTGCCTGCGTTGCCGTAAGCCCTGGGACAAGCCAAACCGGAACACCACAAATTCTGGTGTTTTCCGGAAGTAAACGCGCTCTGCTGCAAGCTAAAACTGCTGACTATGCACTAATTTTTACTGAGGAGTGGAGACGTGTTGGTGAGCAGAAAATATTGGATTTTTCTTTTGTTTCGATGTATTTTCCACCATCAAGGGAATATATACAGACCACCTAATGGAATTATACATATTGGGGGTTTATATTTCGTTATATCGTTAATATTCGTCAAAATACAACCATATTTCGGTCTCGTATTACATGTATCAATTTTCATGTATGATCATATGATGTAAACATGATCGAGTCGAAATGTGCTCGAATTGGCCGCTGTGATTCGAAACATCATGGGTTCTTTTACAGATGACCTGTTTCAACACGCGCTTGTAAAGTCACTTCAAAGACTGGACAAAGCCGGACTGGAAATTAAAGAGAAGTAATTCGAAGCTTTATCGTCAATCGTATGCATATAAAAAGAACAAGAACGACATGTGACATGTCTAAACGGCGGTGTGTATCTGTTTACTGGGTTACAACAACGGCAATAACAATGAATCACCTAACAGTTCAAGAAA